GGAAGAGTTTTTCTCCAACTGGGATGTGCATGTACATTATTGCAAGATAACAACTCTGAGAATCCTGATCATGGGAATTAAGTTGGGGAAACACAAAGAAACCTGGAAGTAAAAAAACAACGTGCAGAAATGACAGTCATGCATTTAATGGCACCCATAGAAAAGAAGGAGATTTTGACCCACAGCATGTGGGGTAAACTCAAACTTGACGTGCATTTCTTCCCTTAAGGTCAAAAACATCCTTCTGTTCTAACTGAAATGAAAGTTACAGGTGTGAGCACATGAAGCTTAAATAAATGTATGGTAGCTGCTTTGCTACTTTTTAGTGGCAGAACAATACTACATGTACTAACAAACTATACAGATTATTACACAAAAATCCTTACTCAAATAACAATACAGCAAGTTACACTGTACATGTACCATTGCCTGTCATGAAATTTGTAACTGTGCTTTAAAGAGTCTGAAGTAAGCATGCGCATGCGGTCACTGCTGCAGCCATTTAGTTAAGGCACCTGCATGTAATACCATGGTGGAACAACGGTTGTTCAACATCGTATCAAGCAAGCACAAAGAAATCCACAAGAAACACTTCAATTTTGAGCATGAATGAATGTAATCTGAGATAAGCTACGTGTATTGAAATTGCATTCCTTGCAAAAGCCTGATTAATCGCATTTCACACCATTGGAACGGTACGTTTCATTTTAATATTGATTTTCCCTGCTGCAGCCACGGTATGTGTCCAGACCATCAAGCTACACATTAGTACGGTCCCGGTGCAAACTGAGCACAGACCTCCTCTGATCATTAAGTTCATATTACACTTTGCCCTTGGCTAGACCTCCAAAAGAAAAAAAGATTAACTGGGGCAAACAGACTTTCCAGGGGGTTCTGATTTGGGAAAAGCTGCCGTATCAAACTTGGGGGGAAAATGGAGAATTTAGAGCTTTCTCTCTTACAGACAGAAATGTTGGAATCAGGTAACAAGATTGTGTGACACCAACATGCTACCGGTGCGAATACATATACAACATCTGTTAAAGATAACATGTTGTACCTTGAAAATTTGAACTTGGCATTTTAGTTTTTCTACACAAAGGAAAATGGTCCTACTCTTAGAGATAGAGCAGCGTTAACTGTCTGGTACTTTTCTCCGGACAGTTTTGGGGTACATGTATAAATATGCACATCCTGCAGCTAACAAAGCAATTAATTCAACAAGTATTCAAGACATCTGGTTCTGCACCTATGTCAACTCCTGACCATATGAAATTAATCAAACACTTTAAAAAATAATGACCCAAAACAGACTCCAAGTCCAGGCGATGTAATTTTTAAACTGACTTTTGCAAAATCGTACCTTTGTTCCACATTTAACCCTACATTTAATTTTTATTTTGCAATTTTGATGGGTAATTGGGAGTATTTTGGCTTCACACTATGGAAAATTGCATTCAGGGCCATCAGTGTAATTATAACATCCCAAGAAGAAACCCAAATATCAGAGTAATTTCAGTACCAACTTTACCAGACTTCTGTTTTTTATTTGGTTGTATAAAATGTTTCAGATGTCATTTCAGTTCACAGCAGTAGACCACTGAACCAAGTCTGGGATTTGGATTCATGATTTGAGTAGCATCTTCCTGGGGTGAGATCATCGCGTTATCATTTGTCAGCAAAAATACAGCCTCTTTAAACAAGTGCACTTTTTCTCAATCAATCAAGCAAGCCAGATGTCAAGTAGTTTTATAGGAGAAGAAAGTCGAACAACATTGGTATCTACAGAGAAAATCAAGGCATGGACTCTTTAAATCAGTGGTACAGGTAACACGAGTGGTCAAGTTGTCAGAAATACTCTAATACAACACAGATTGTAAAGCAAACAAACAAAAAAGTGCTCACGTGGCTAAGACCCCCCCCAAAAAAATAAATTAATAAAATAAATAAAAGTCTGCTTCCGGTTACCCACCTTACTCTATTTTTACATTGCGACTACTAAACTTTTTATCAGTTACAGGCAGATTCTAAGCCGATACTTTCCTCTTTTTTTTGGAGGGGTAGGAAAGGAAGCAGATAAAAGTATATGATTTCCAAATGCTACATGTACATATGTAAGTATAAATGTGACCCAGCACATTGTAATCAGGAATAAGTCACTGAGGCCGTTTTACTTAATGACCAAGTAAAGTAGGATGTGAGTAAATGTTGACAACTCGACGTGGCTTGTAATGTGTACCATTTGAAAGCCTATGAATTCTCTTTCTGACCATGTACAAATCTCAAAATGTCAATTTGCGACTTATTCCTGATTTCGACGTACCGGGTCACAAATACATCAGAAGCAGGCACTGATAAAACCACACTCATTACCTAAGTATACATGTACTTCAAGGTTACGATAAAAATTTTAGAGATTAATCAGACGTACAGCTTCTCTTAACAACTGAAAAGTCTCAACAAAGAGTTTGAAATACCTAAAAATATCAGACAGCATGTAAGAGGAGGGGAGAGAAAAATCTGAGGAAGTAACCACACATTTTTTGCCGTCCCCCTTCATCTTCAGTGACTCCCGGTTTGGGAAGTCACTGTTCAGACTGACTACTGGATTAGTTTGGTGGTGAGGCTGTGACTCCAACCTCGGAATCCAGTTCACTGGTGTGCTGACTGTTTCTTCCGGGGCGAATACGAGAGAAGAACTTCTGCACTCTCGTGAATGAACTTGTGAGAAGCTGTTGGCACGGCAACAGTTTTGCACCCACCATTGCTCTGCTGGTGGCCCGGATGACGCTGTTTTTGCAGAAGTAAACAATGATATTGCAGAGGCCGCTACAAAATGAAATGATTATAAATGAGTTCAGTACCCAGGGGATGTCGCTAAAATCAATGTAGGAGGCCAACAAACCAGCTATGACAATTGGCATACAGGCAATGGTGAAGACTAGAGTCATAACACGGGTGGTCTTGGAGGCCTTTTGAGCTTGGTTCTGGAGAGCAAGACGCTGCTGGTTATTGTCATGGTTGCCGTCTCTAGTTGGCATAACTCCAATCTGGGCTGCGTGGTGTCGCGCTACTGCTGCAAGCCGAATGTATATCATGATTGTTACAACGAGTGGGAGGATGACCAGCAAAACCAGATCCAACCACACTAGGAATTCTTTGACATCAACTTTGAAGACGCACAACATGACTGCATCGTAGGTCATGGAAATTTCCCACTTGACAACAAAGGCATCAGTGAGAGATGCGATGCAAGAGATGATCCAGATTGCAGCATTCCCCATGTAAACACGATTTGGCGTTAATATGTCATGGTAACGCAAAGCCCTGGTCACTGCAATGTACCGATCAAAATTTAAGGCCAGCAGCAACATGACTTTTGTAATTTGAACAACTTTTAACACAAGGGCCTGCAGTTTACAGAAAGAAGAATCAACTGAAATGTTACCAATGTAAACCACTGCCAGAGGTAAGACGCAGATGAGGCCATTCAGTAAATCCGCAACACTCAACGACGTCATCAGAACTTGGGGGGCTTCATTGATAATAGACTTTACTCTCCTCAGAACAATGATACAGAATGTGTTGCTGACAATAATGGCAACTGTTAACAAACACAATAGTATGGTGTATAGCAAATCGTAGAACAACATGACGTCACTGGAAACACAAGGCCATTAACGTGAATTTAAAACGCAAGGCCCATTTTCTTCCTTTACTGACTGGACCGCCAAGTACCGGCACTGCAACACACAGATCCGATAGTAAAACACACAGCCTGCTACCGGTACGCTGTCAGGTTCAAACCGAGTGATGAGAGGCTTCTATGGCGACAGGAACATACTCCATTTATTCATTTGTTCACTCGGCTAATTACTTGATCAAACACTCCCATTTCCCTTGACTAAAACTGATGGGCTGACAGAAACACTCACTTCAAAGCACATGCAAGATTAGAGAAAAAGCAAAGTCAGCCATCAAGGTTTACTTTGCTATGCTCACACTGCCCATGAAATTATATCTTCATTTTAATTGTAAATTGGTTTTCTATTGGTTCATCTCTAGACTAAGGACTACAGCTTTCTCGCATACAGAGAAAAAGAAAGGGAAAACAGGATGCCACTGTTTTTATCTATCAGCTTCAGGTACTCAGTATTATGCTGGATAATCCGTCTGATTTTTTTAAAAACTGGCTGGTGTGTACAGACAGTTGTCTTGAAATGTGTATCATGAACAAACATTATATATAACGAGTTTTGCGCTTACCCAACGTATATTAATAAGCACTGTATGCTCAGTGCTTGTCCGAGAGCTTCCGAAAAAAACTCACAAGCTTACTTGGGTGGGACTCGAACCCACGACCTCCTGCTTACCAGTGCAGATGAACAAACATGTTGTATTGTTGAGGAAGTAACCAATAACTCTAAAAAGAGCCATGATTTTCTCAGACCTTTTTTGGGGGGGGAGAAGAATCTGTCCCGGATCTTCGCTATTTGATTAATGCTGGATCTTATGGAACTTGGCAAGCATGAGCTAAACACATATGGCAGAAACTCCCGGAGCCATGGCTTGTAAAAAAAACTGCTTTGCTACAAGACAAGAGAAAATGTCGAGAGGGGGCAAATTTGGCCTCTCTCGACTCCTTCCAGGGAAAACACTGGATTAAAACAAATTATCCTTAAGGCCCCTCTGGCAATATTCCAGGAAGTGCCAACTGCACAGCACATTTATAACATGGTTCTCTTCTTTACAGAGCACTTAAACTCTGACAAAGCTGGTTTTTTTTAGTGATATGCCAATTATCTGGTCACGGATGAAAGATCATAGTGAAGCACTGCTCAAATAAGGTCATTATTACATTCATGATCAAAGGCGGGCAGGACACATCAATTTGGGGAGGAACAGAGATTCTCTTCAATATTTGCACTCATTACACCGATCTGTGATGAACACTGGGAAACTTCAATGAATCATGATTTTTTTAACCACTAAAGCCTCTTTTTTCAGAAAGAGAAAGAAGAAACTGTTGACTAATCTAGGTTTCCAGGTTTCCAGATTCAGCCAGTTGATGTTGCAGAAAATGGTAGATATACTGTATTCAAGAATGGGGCATTATTCCTGAGAAATGGGTGGGAAAACTGAACCAGTCCATGTAAATACTGCATGTCAGCAAAAACATACACTGTACATGGTTAACTCAAATTTTAACTAATACTCTTGTACCACTTCTATTCCTGCTGAGATGATTTGCAGAAAAAGAAGGGATTTTTCAAAGAACTAAGGTGTGAGAGCCAATTGTTTCTAAGTCAAGTACTTCAAATACTTCCCTACTTAGGATACTTCCCACATTAACTTGATTTTTTGCTATGCACTCTGAGTCTCTGCAATTCACCTATCAGATGAATGGGATTTATCTTTTTCCACCTCAAGCAGAAGCAGCCATATTGGTCAGGAGTTCATTTGGATGGTACCCATGCAACCGTAACTAGTGCATTTCACAGTTGTTCGTGAACCAGCGAAGTGCAGTTCCTACCAAAGGAGCCTTCGTTGCTGAGAAAATTGCTCCCTCTCTTGGTCCAGCTCAAGGCTAATAAACATGTATAAATCCACTGCTAGAATTAGAGCAAGCTTGATGATTTACACTGCCAGAGTAAATGTAGTGTTTCCATGCCCTCAGGTGTGATCAGTAAAATTTGCCAGCTGAAACCCCGTCTTAAAATCTCTCACACAAATACATACTGTGCATCCATGGTTTCAACAAATAGCTCACATGCTGTTCTCTAATAATTCAGACAAGCGAGGGCGCTATTCTAATTTTTCATGGCTATGTGAGATTTTACAAAATACAGGACCAGTCTGACTCTCATCAGATACCGCCAAGAGAAGCATCAAAACTTTCAAAGAGTTGTGTTTCAGGCCAAGCTGAGCCTAGAAACATCAACACAGTGGCTTTTGCAAAAGGAAAGACTCAAAGTGGCGTTCTTACTGAAAAGACTGCAACTTATTATCATACCCTGTAGTTGAAACCACAAAAATTACTTCAACATATCTGATCCAGTGATGATTAAGTTTTAAGGGAAACTTCACTTTACATCAGTACCGAAGTGACTACTTACTCCTGGTGGTGTAACTTGGGAATCACGACGGAACTGAATGGGTGATTGAAGTCTTGAGAGCTTGACAGCCTTCATGGGCAGCAAATTTATTCAGAATTCAGGTTGCACAAAGGACATTCACGGTTAGTTAGAACATGGAGCAACTGATGCCTCTTGAGTCAACTGTCAGCTTATATTTACAGCAATGTGCACCGTTTGTGTAGTGTGCTTTCAGGCAACACTGATGACGGGGATTGAATGACATCAAACTCTTTGTCTCAATTAAACTTGGTACTAATCTTTTGAGTTTGAGATCTGTAACTTTTTTGTTGAGGAAGAAAGGAAAAGTCTTACCATCTTTTCTTATTCCAAAAATTGAACAAACCAAAATAAAACAAACAAATAAACAAACAAACAATCAAATAAACAAACAAATAAACAAACATCCACATCTAAAACAACTAAAACAAATCAAAAGAATAAGCATAGGCCTCAGTATTTACAACATATGCAAAACTAATGAATTTGGACTATAATTTCCTAATTTCAGAACAAAATTTGTTAGATTGCTCAGAAACTGGAAAACAAGCAGAGGTGAATAACGTGCAGTGTAATTACCCCAAGAACTGTGAGGTACAACATCTGCCCCACTCCATCTAAAATGCAAAGAACTAAGAAAGCTACACAAACTGGAGAAAACATTTTCACAAATAATAATCCATGTTGCATTGTTGGGTCCTACCTCAGCCTGCCAGTGCAGTGCAGTACTAAAATATTGGCCTACATATTCTGGCATGGGCCAACAAATGTGTGGTGTGGATGGAGGACACACAAGGAAAAGGGGAAAAAAAATTATTACCTTTTCTGGCAACTGCCAATTGGAAGGGGTTCTCTAACGTTGTAAGGATTGTGTAGGCCTACATGTACTACCCCATCCAAATGAAAGCTGAGCTGTGATTGGTCATGGCAATTGGAAGCAAATTGGACCGATCACAGTGCGGCTTTCATCTGTGGGTGACAGGAAAACAAAAGGAAAAGATGGGAGCTGTGTTGGGATTGGTCAAGCTATCACACAGCTGACATTTATCAAGAATACATGCTGCTGATTTTCTGTAATGTGGATGGGCAAAATATTCAAGAATTTCACCATTTTAATGAGGATATATATAAGGTGAATTAACTTCCCCATCTAACATCACCAAGAAGGCATGTATAAAATCTGATTGCACAAATACATGTACATGTAGCTGCGTTTGAAGAGTAAATTGGCACAATCAAAACAGCCAAAATGTGTTTATGGGAGTTTGTACATGGCTATAAATATATACACCTTACAATTCTGGAAGTAACCAAAGATAATGTTTTTATGGCCACCCTGTTTTTTTGTGAATTTAGACCTGTATTACAGGTTTTGTAAATTGTGAAAATAGGCTCTATGTGTAGGCCTATCCCATTATTGCCTTCAAAATTACCCTGTGCCTCTTTCCACACAAAATTAACTCTGCACTATTTAACATGATGTCACCGTCACCTGCCTACCGGTAGGTGGGTTCAAAAATTCAAATGCAGGGCCTAGGCCCTAATTCTTTATAAGTTCCCAAACACGGTTCTATTTCTATTGCTAACCACGGAGCATTACATGTATGTGTTCTGATTCTTCGATGGTCGAGGCCTGGCATGGTATGACCAGTCTTTCAGTCAAAATCTGGCCTAAAGCTATTAAGTATGTTATGTTAGGCCCTACTAATGAACAGCTGAAGCAGGTAAAGAAACGATTAATCTTATGAAAAGTCTGAAAAGATAGGCCTAATTTGTGAAACACTTACTTCAACTTCAAGAGGTTCAACTTCAAGTCCCAAATCTCGAAAACGGAGTTCCAAGTGACACAAGCTTCAAGTTCAACATACTGCAGTGCAAAATGCAAGCGCGCAAGGAGACCACGCCGCACTCGGATGTCTTGAAAGCCGCGACAAGTCCAGACTTGTATGACTTGACAGGCAGCATGCATGCCGTGCATGCCGCCGCGCCGCGAGCCAGCAAAGAAATCACGCCATGAAGAATGGTGCCATACAGTGATGCGCAGCTTCGTATTTGCATGAGATGGATACTAGATCAATGAAAACAATCGTCTGCAAACGGCGCAGTGTCACACCGCCCTCTAACGATTGAATGCGAAATATTAAAGAACTTCTGACCAATCAGCAGACGTTGTCTCAAGCCGGGTGCGCAGAAAATTTCCCAAAACAGTGGGGGTACAACAGAAAGACTGTGGTTACCAATGACAATGAGGATTTAAAATTGTAAGTACATAGGCCAATTTAAAATGAACTAAAATGTCTAAACAGACAAAGCACTCACTGCAGAGGCGCGATTTCGCAACCCCTAACCAGAAACGTGTTTGAGACATCAAAAGAAAATAAACCGGCACATTTAGGTGGCCGACACAAACAAACGAGCAGAAACGGTTACGTCTTCCAACAGAGACAAAGCACAAGGAAGCGGATGACTTCGTTGATGAACGTCATTTTCACTCAATATTCGGATAATTCGGGTGTTTCCGATTCTACTTCTTTTGGGTTACTGCATGTAACAACTCTTGGAAGGTATAATTTTTTTATTTTAGAGACTACCGAAAAACTGTCTGCTTATTTTCGCCATGTTGAATCGACACAGAACCAACAGACCGATTGCACCCGCTAAGTCACGTGACCCTATAGTGGGTATCAAACATAAAAAAATATGGTGTCTCCCCATATAAAAGTGTATTTTTAGTAATGACTACAATTGTACCCAGCACCTAATAATCTGAGTGATTTACCGACCGTTAACTTTAGTTTTGGTAAACTACACATATGACACTCTTTGCTATGGGATCACACTATGTTTGTTGATCTTTAATACTTTTAGGTAACGTGGTTTTGTGGGCGCAATCTGTCTACTCCAACTTTCGGCTCTCGAAATGACGTCACACAATGACGTCACACAAGCATACTCAAAGGCGCAAAACCCCCAAGCAATGAGCGAAGAAGAATATGTTTCTTGCCATGGTCGCAAAAACACGCCCGGTCTGATATCCATAATCATAGATAAACCAAATGGCGTAAGGAGGTCGAAGACCAAGTCACGAAGCGCCAAGTTGAGAGGCCCAAGATGTGATCAAGTACGTAATGGCATGTGAGCGGGAGTCTCAACATCTTAGCCACACTTCGCCGCCATCTGTTACAGGTCGTTTCGTTTTAACTCAGTTTCCTTTATACAACCTTTTTATCTTTGAATTCAGAAGTTATTTTAGCTACCCTCCTCGATACTACTTGAAAACTTTGAAAAAAATATTAATCTACCCTGTTGCACAAAAATCAAGTTGCGGTGGCCTCATTGCATCATTTGCATGGCGGTATTGTAGAGATCAGTGGTAGGGCTACGTGTACTATAATGATTCACCAGCGGCTTGAAATCAGACGTTGAGGGCTCTGTGCATCCTCCAAAAGCCGGCTAGCAATTAATGGCATACGCCATTTCCTAACCTCCGGCTTCAGTCGTAATGGGATTTGGCATTTATGTCCAGCTTGACGATTTCCTGAGTTTCAAATAAATCGCCGGCTCAAAGTGGATCATTTTGTAAAATTGTTTCAGAGACATGAATGTGATCGTGATCGTTACACTGCACAAAACGCCCTGGATGTGGCTATTAATGAGGCATATAATAATATTAATACAAATCCAAAGAGTTGGGTCTATTTGTTTGCTTTGAAGATCTAACCACGTCGTTCAAAACACTGGGATCGAAGCATGCAAGGTTTTGGAAACACGTCCAGCTTCGGGTACAAGAGCAGAACCCACAGTCTCTGTTAAGTAAGACTAATGCAGATGAGAAAGCGGTAAGCAAAGACATTATCCTTAAGAAACTGAAGACTTCATGTCATTTTGTAGTATTAGCACGAGATTAAGTTGCAGCGATTTAGGAAGAAACTCCAAAAAATACACGATATCTCAGGATTAAAAAAGCTAATGCAAGAGCATTCAAATGTGAAAAGTGAAAAATCTGAGCAAAAGCTGATTACTTTATTAAGCCAGATGAATGACAATGGATTTGTGCCTGAGCAATAAAGCTATTTTTCTTTCGCAATGAATCTTTGCATAAAGGCGCCTTTCCATTATGCTCGTCAATACTTGCGCAGAGCATTGCGTATCCGTCAAAGTCGCTCCCGGGGCAATTCGACGGCCGAACGCAACGCACACGCGTATCATGTTAATGGAGTCGATGTTTGTGTCCGTGAAAGTGAAACGCATGAACGCATTTTGTACGCAACGCACTCTAAAAATGTACACAGGCCTGTGGAAAGTGCACAGAAAATTTCTGGATTTTTTAACCACTGCTATGGCAGATTTTATTTTCTTGCAAATTTATTGCTGTGTAAGTATATGGCAATAATCCAGCAAAATCCCTTTCACAGAAATGTTCCCAGATAGCAAATTTGGGATTCACAATTTGAACAAGAAAACATGCAACCTGAACCATGTCTTCCTGGATTTACATCAAAGCAAAAGCGCCCTCCCATGTCCAGAAATGTTTGGTCAATTTTTAATATTTCAAAAAGGGGACCGTTCAGTTCACATAATTAAAAAAAGATGTCAAGCAGTCGTCATACATGGAAGAAGAGTACAGAGATACACAAAAAGTGATTCTAAGAAAAATCCATTTCCTAGTTCCTTTAACCCTAACAGTCCTCAATCCTTCACCTGTGGGAGGACTGAGGACTATTAGGGTTAATGAAACTGCAACGCCACAGCTTCATTCATTAGGTGTACGTCGGCTTCTGACGCTTGAGGGCCTACGCAGGCCCCAAGCTAGACTAGCTGGCGACTTGTCGCACCAACTTGTTAGTCACTCACTGGAGGAAAAATCACACCCCATACGTAGAGTGTATTATTAAGGCCTCAAGTCTTCTGTATATAAGTCAATCATTTATCCCTATTATAATGCATCGTTACTTATTTTGATATTGATTGCATATAGGAGTGGGGTTATAATTGTAGGTGACAAGTGCAATAAATGGGTCCACTTGTGAAGTCACGTAAATCACTTGTGATACTTGTACACTATATAGCCGAGTTGGAACAACATGGAACATGACACGTTCAGGGGTCAACTTCTGTGTTTTTTTTCATCAATTTTGTAAGCGTACAGACCCTGCTTGGAAAATTTGGGCAACTTAAAAATTATATATTATACTAAAAGAAGGTGAAAACATCCAACAATCATCGTTTCTTTCCTTCCCAGTTTGTATACTCTCATCAACGCTTAGAGTTTAAACACATTTCTAACAACATTTTTTGTACCCACGTTTTTGACAACAAGTTAAGTGTTACACGTTTAGGAATGTGTTGAAATGCTAAGGAGATTTCAAAAAGCTAACATGTACCACGGAAAAGAGTTTAGGCGTTTAAACTCATTCCTGAACACATTTTAATAAACATGTCGTGGGTTAAACGTGTGGAAAGAGTGGGTACAAAAACGTTGTTTTTACAGTGTTATAGGAGGGGAAGGGTAGAAGAAAAAACATGTATTGCTTCCTGTACCGCTCACGTGAAAATGACAAGAAAAGGGTTGGCTCCTAAGCGAGCGAAAGCCGAAGAGAGTGCTAATTTTCATGCAGTGACAGAATCGCGAGTCACTTGACTCTTGCAGAATAGTGCGAGCCGGCGAACGGCGCCGCATCAGGGTTATTACGTCAATGAATCGGAGTACCGTCAGTGTATTGCTCCGCGGCCGCTGCAATCAGCTCGTTGCGAGGATACCGTAGGAACGTTTTTGACTGATGCCAAATTGTGCGTTCAACAGAATTCAGAGCAAGACAAATCGTGCTTTTATGGGCTCAGCCGGTTCCCTGTATTGATTTTCTTGCCCGTCCCACCTTTTATGCGTGGGGGATAATATGCATCCGCATAGAATGCAGTACATCCGCCACAGGCCAAGTTATAGGTTCGTATCGAATGGATCCGTTTCTGTCTTGAGGCCCATGGAGGGCGGTGAAGTGACACGGTGTTCCTTGTTCCTGTAGCTACAGTTCTTGAGGTAATTTTATCAGTGTACAATTACTAAACTTTCAGTAAACTTTCAAATCAGTTCTTTTTTGTCCTTGCTTTCGGCGTCTAGCGCCTCGTGATATCTATTCCAGATCTCCATTTCTTTGTATTGAAGTCACACTGACGTTTTAAAGGTTGTTGGAATTAGCATCTGACATATTGCCAAACCGATCCATAAAATGACAGACCTTCAACGTACAGATTTTCATGTGTGAATAATTGTACATTTTTTTCAATCTGCGTGTTGGCGATGGTCTTTGTCAAACGGCCAGATTGTGACTGTACGGACAATTTGTTTTTCATATAGATAACACATGTGTTTGATTGGTCTTTTGCGGCATGTAAATACATGTACGAACCAGTCTCCTTTCCTTCCCTGAGCTCGCGCACACTCCCAAAGACAGAATTTGTCAGCTGTTCAGTCCTGGAACACAGACATTTTGTCAACATCTTTCGACCCCCAAAGTGTCTGGGCAGCACGCTTCCTTCTTATCGCTCATCTGTATCATCGATCGGTGTCTAATCTTTCGGCTGTTAGGGTTAGACCCGTCGCCACTGGGTACAGAGATGGATCGTTGTGTGGGAGTGTCTTGAGGTTGGCGGAACTCGATGCCATTTTCGCTCGTCCTTTGCAATGTTATTAGACGGACAATCCTGAAGCCCCATCGAGTGTTCTTCCAAATGTCTGCTCAGACGCGCTTATACAGTAACCTAACAAGACATTCATCGTAATATCTAAGTCAGAACCTATTCCCTCGAGTCATTGCCATGGAATTGGGAGATTACCATGGAATATGGTTGCGTTCAAAAAAAAAAAAAACCAATTCTGCACTGCGCCATGGCTACATATTTTCTTCTTCGCCATGATAAACTTTAATATACATTTTTTTGAAAAAGGTCTGATTGGGAAAGGTCAACGAAGAGAAG